GCAATTCTTTGGAAGTTTGTAGTTCGTAATTTTCCCTGACAATGGTTTTACTCTTTTTGCAGAACAATATCATGGATTTATGGTCCCTTTTTGACTTTTTGATGCCAGGATTTCTGGGGACAGAGAGACAAGTATGGATTTTTTCATCTTTTTCAAGTTATCATGTGCATTTCATTAGTATTACAGTCTTCTTAGATGTTGTTACTTGCTGGATGTTTATCTTGTTTTGCCTAGGAAATCTTTTTAGAAACTATAAGAATTATAAAGGTCGGAGTGATGACAAGTAAGTTAATGGTTACCCTGACAGTTATACGCGTTGATGCAGCATCACAAGCATGAAATGCCCAATTTATATCGTACACTGACATGGTTAAGGGTTGTCTGGTAGCACATAACTCATGTTTGTCTGCCAGATAAATTCCTGGTAGAATTTGTAAAAATTTATTTTCTGTAGGCAAATTTTTGGCATCTTGATGCTACTAGAAAATTCTTGAGGAATTGTATATAGGGTGGGGGCTGTCTCGGATTTAAAACTAAGTTAAATGTGGGAAAAATCTCTAATATATATGTATAAAGTATTTTAAATAACATCTATAACCTTTATTTCCATCTTGGTGTCATCTTACTGATTTCTCTAAATACGCTGTTGGGTTGGGTCTAATAATATTCAAGGAATACTATTTGGTCCTAGGATTCTAGTGCATCTAAATACTCGAGTATTTACTTAATTGGTTATATGTTGTGGAAGAATAAATTATTGTACATTTCATTGAATATTATGGCCTTTCATATACAAATAAATAGTAACAACAAAAGAAAACAGTATCCTTACAAAGGTTATAAAGATCTGAGGTATCTTACTAATATATATTTTAACCTAATGGAGCCCTTACTTGTACTTTATACACCCCCCATCAAGTTGGTGAATAAATATTATTCATTTGCAGCTTGGAAATAATCGTTTAAAATTTAAGATTACTTAATCCTTTAATCAAAATATTAATAAATTATTAAATGGTTGGCATGTATGGAGTATAAATCAACACACTATCTAGTTTTTCTTTGATGAAGTGCCTGTATGCTGTAATGTGTTTAGTTCTATCATATTGTATTGGATTGCGAGCAATATTAATCGCTAATTTATTATCACAATATAGTCTCATAGGTCCGTCTGTTGAATCTTCAAGTCTTCTAAAATCATCTTTAATCATATAAGCTCATACACCTCCTTAGTTATAGTCCTGAACTTTGATTCTACACTAGACCTAGCTGCCATGTTTTGCTTCTTATTTCTCCAAGTCAATAGATTGCTTTAGAGAAAGGTACAATACCTAGAAGTGGATCTTCAGTCTAACATAGCCTGCATCGTTGTATATTTCGAGAAGTAGCCAATAATTTTTTTTGAACATAATTTCCTTCCTTGAAGTACCCTTCAAGTAATGAAATATTATGTAGGCGCTTGTAGGTACACTTATTTAGGTTTGCGTATGAATTGGCTCAGTACATTAATTGCATATGTGATGTTTGGCCTAGTATATAACAAGTATGCTAATTTTCTACTAGTTTCGAATATATTTCCCTGTTCACATTTGGGTCTTCTTATGGCAGTCCTAGTTTATGATTGGTATTAATGGGTGTGGTAGTCACCTTGCATGCTAGTTTGCCAGTTTCATTTAATAGATCTATAACATATTTTTGTTGGAAGATGAATATTTATGACTCTAAGTAGGACACTTCTGTTCCTAGGAAATATTTTTAACTTCCCCAATTCTTTAAGTAGGACACATTAGGCATTACTTGAGATATACTCTTTCATCTTCATCGTTTTCTATAATGATTATGTCATCTACATATAGCAGTTACTCCCACTAACTTTGAGTATTTAAAAGAGGTTGTGGTCTCCTTGGATTTGCCTATACCACATGAATAAAGTAACTTTGCAAATCTATCAAATCATGTCTGAGGAGACTGTTTAACCCCGTATATTACTTTTTTCAATTTGCACACTTTATTCTTTGCTACTCCCTTAGTAAAACTGGGGAGAATCTCCTTATAAATTTCTTCTTCCCATTCCCTATGCGAGAAGATATTCTTCATATCAAACGGTTGTAGTTGTCAATTGAAGTTAGCAGTTAAAGGCAGTAGGACACATACTGTAGTAATCTTTGCAACTAGTACAAGTGTCCTTTGGTAGAAAATCCTGTAGGTTTAGATAATATCATTTTTCTACCAATCTTACCTTGTATCTTTCTGTTGTTCAATCGGCATGTGTTTAACAATAATAACCATTTGCAACCCTCTAGTCGTTTCTCTTTGGGTAAGTCCACTACTTCCCATATCTGATTCTTTTCAAATGCATGCATTTCAACGTTTATAGCATTTTTGCATTCCTCATTGGTTAAAGTCTCATATAATATTTTAAGAATAGATATTGTATTTAGGTTCACAAGAGACCTTTATGAGATGGAGAGTAATTTTTAACGGATACAGATTCGAGATAGGATAGAGAGAATGCTTAGTGCATTCTCTCGTCCCCTTTTTAAATGCAATAGGTTGCTAAGTTACCCAAGATGGTAACTAGTTGATCAAGTTGGTGGTAGTTAACATAGCTTCCCCCTTAGTATTGTTTAGGAACATGGTTTTAGAACAAAAAGGTTTCAATAACGGTAACTAAATGGTTATTTTTCTGTTCTTCTATTCTATTTTGTTATGAAACACAGACATAGGAAGACTCATGAACAATTCTTTTTTTTTTAAAGGAGGACAATTTCTGGTTAAAGTAATTTTGGGAATTATTGATTGTAAAACATTTAAATTTTTACTTCAAGTTGTGAATAGATCATAGTGTAAAAGTAGGGAAGGACATGAGTGATTTCATCTTTAGACTTCAATGGGAAAAGTTAAGTTATTCGAGTACAATCATCAATAAACCATTGAGTTCCAATAATATTAGGAATGTTTAGGGGATTCTAAATATCACTATGAATCAAAGTAAAAGGAAAATTACTTCTTTTATTACTAGGAAAAAATTATTCGTTAGTATTTTGCTAGTTCACATACATCATCATGTAATTTTTCATTATCAAAATTTAAAAAAAAAAATAAAGAAGGAAGCATAGCTTTGAAAATAGATAAAGGAAGGTGTCCTGGTCTTTGTGGTATGATTATAGTTTGTCTAGTATATTGGTGGAGAGGGCGGTACATGGTATCTTGAGTGTATCCAGGAAATATAACATGTTCCGAGTCTTAGCGCGTCCAATCATCCTCCCTGAGATCTGATCCCGAAATTCACAGTCAGAAGGAGAAGTCACTTTACAATTTAAGGTCCTGGAATAATTTAGTTACTAATATAAGTTACGTGCATAGTCGAGGAACATGGTGATGAATATTGCTCTATAGGAAAAATGGTTATGGAGGTTCATGGAGGAGACTAATACTCTATGGTGGACAGTGATTGAGACAAAGTTTGTAACTGTGGATAGGGGTTGGTTCTCAAGAGTAGCGGCAAGACTGTGTGGGGTAGGGATGTGAAGGAAAATTAACATGCATATGCAAGACTATGTGGGGTGGGGATGTGAAGGAAAATTAACATGCATATGCCAAGATTTCAGGAATGCATCAGATGGAGTGCTAGTAGGGGGGAAAGAATTACTTTTTAGCCGGATCCATGGACTGGAGGGGGAGTACTCAAAAACCCGTTTTTTCAAATTTATGCTATAGCATGGTAGAAGAATATCACAATAGAGGAGTCATGCAGAGAAAATAGAGGGAATAGGGAGCGCACTGTAAATTTGATGAGGAACCTCAAAATTTGGAAGGTTAATGAATATGAGTCTCTCCTAAGTATATTTTCCCTCATCAATCTGACTGGGAACAATGATCAACCACTATGTAACCTCAATAATAATGGATCCTTCATGGTTAAGTCTTACTACAACCACTGGTCAGTAAAAGTCGCAGAACACAGGTTTCCGTTTATGCAAAATGAAGAGGAACAACCCGCCCAAAATTGCTTTCTTTGCT